CCCCCCTGGGCAGCTCAAGGGGCACCTGTTGGGGGGTCAGCATGAGAGGAGAGGGGCGGAGCTTCCAGGGGGGTGGAAGGGGATGCTGGCAGTCCCAAGACTTTTCTCTGAGCCTTTCTCATTTCCTCTGAAGGCCTGGAAGGGCTTCAGCTGAGGGAGCAGAGGGCCAGGGCTGGCATGCCCGCCCCTCCTGAGCCCCCCTTCCCCGTGGGGGCCCCCAAAATACCTTCTCTGGGTCATCCCCAAGTTTAGGACATGATTCCAGCTCCCAGCTGGACTTGGTGATGACCTTGAATGAGGTGGTCTGACAGACCTCACCTTCCCGTCCTCTGGGAACAAGGGTTGATCATCACACACCACCACAGGGTGGCTGTGAGAATCTTTGCCACAGGTGTCGTTTAGGAAGTGTGCAACAAATGGGACATGGTGGGTGCCCATGGCTCATGCCTGTCATCCTAGCTACTCAGGAAGCACCCGCCCAGGCAGGAAAGTTGGTGAGACTCTTATCTCCAATTAACCAGCAAAAAGCTGGAAGCAGAGCTGTGGCTCAAGTAATAGAGTGCTAGCCTTGAGTGTGCAAGGCCCTGGGCATTCAAATCCCAGTACCAACCCCACCCCCACATGATATAATTACTAGTAATTAATCAAATATACAGGTGTTGGGTTTTAGGTTTTTGTTGTCTTGTTGAGGGTCATGGGGCTTGAACTCAGGGCCTGTGTGCTGTCCTTGAGCTTTTCTGCTCAAAGTGAGTGCCCATGTCAGGGCAGTGGTACACAGAGTTCCTGCTGAGAACATTTGTTGGCATAAAATCCACGTCTCCACCTCCTCCTTAGACACAAAATACAAATGAGACTCCACGGCGGTTTCATTTTTGTTTTATTTTGACCCACATCTCACTTTTCAAAGAACCTGAGGCTGGGAGCTCTTTGAGAGGATGTTCCTGCGGGTGGAACCTTTATTCAGAGCTCCCTAGTTCTCTGAAAACTCCTCTCCTCTTCCCCCTGCTTCATTCATCTCTCTTCTGTCTCCACAGCCTCATGCCTGCCTAGGGGATATTTCTGGCTGGGGTTACAGCTTCAGGGCACCCGGAGGGGGCCCACAAGGTCCTACTAGGTAAGGCCGACAAAAGCGGGAAGAGCTGGGTCTCTCTCTCTCTCCCTCCCTCCCTCCCCCCCCCCACCCTGCGGCTAGCTGAGATGCAGCCTGCATTACCCCCTTTCCCCTGCATTACAGCCCTTTTTAGAAGTGGGAGAGGTAGGTCCAAGGAAATGGACTGCCTTTGGATGTTGACTCTCCGAGCTTTCGACTTCCACTTGGGGCTGGGAGATGGAGGTGTTGTCAAGTGAAGCGATCTCTGTAGGTGAACCCAGTGTCTGGTATAAAAGCAAGGACCCAGTGCATGCTGACCACCTGGACGGAGACCCCACAGGGACAGACAACTGGGTCCCCCCCCCCCGCACCCCGCCCCGAGCCCAGGTGGACTTTCTCATTTCCAAGGGTGGCTGGGAGCCCTGCCGAGAGAGCAAAGGGTCCAGGCCCAGGCCCAGGGCTCTGTGCTTTGTATCCACAGTGCAATGTGTGTCCAGGAGAAGCTCTAGGCTGGGCTCTTGTAAATATTGATGGAAGCCCGGGAGAGCAACAAGAAAACAAAGGACCTTTTCTTTATGAAGAGAAGAAAGAAACCAACAAGGAAAACAAAAGAAAACAAAACAAAACAAAACAAAAATCCCACCCTCTCCGCAGGAGGGAGGGGATGTTTAAATAAACCGTGAGACGTTCACTCCACGAACAGCCAGCGAGTCCTGAAATGATGTTTACGGAGGGTTTGTAATAACACAGGAAGATGCTTATTCTAAAATGCTACGTGAGGAAAAGAGGCAGCTGGGTTCTGTAAACTCAGCATAATCACATCCCGGCAAAAGAAAAAATGAAAAAAAAAATCAAGCCAAACAAAAACCACACAGAGAAGAAAAAGCCCGGCGAGATGTGTACCGCAGCAGGGGAGTTCGGGTGGCAAAATTGAGATTTTTTTTTTATATATATATATAATATACTTCTCTCTATTTTCCAATTCTTTTTTTTTTTCTATGATGGCTATTTCTGGCTTAAACTGGAAAGCAACCCAAACTTTTTTCTTTTCCCCACTCTGTCCGCCTAAAGAAGAAAGAACTTATTGGAAAAGCAAGATGAATGACCATGGAAAGTCGAGTGACACAAAGGCCACATGGAGGCTGACAGCACCGTGTCCACAGGCCCAAGGCCATTCAGCATGGCCCAGTGGAGGTCCTAGGCTCTGACCCCAGTGGGAGACCCCTGCAGGCCGGTGCCCAGCTGCACCCTGGGGCATGGGGTCTGTGACACCCTAGTAATTAACATTACCTTTGCCTTAAGACTGCCAACTCTGCCTCTCTCTCAGGGAGAGAAGGTTTTGTCTGTGTTCCAAGAAAACTGTTTTTATAAAGGCGGGTGGGATGGAATTTCCCTATACCAACACCAGCAGACCACAGCCCAGGACTATCATCTGGACCAAGATGGCGCAGCCTGGAAGCCACCCCCATGGTAAAACATACACAGAGCCACACCTTGCCCTAGCATTCACCTGCCCTCATTACCTTAGTACCCATGCAGCCTGGCTGGCTGGCTGGCTTCCTTCCTTTCCTTTCTTTCATTGTTTCTTTTCTTCCCTCCCTCCCTCCTTCCTTCCTTCCCTCCCTCCTTCCCTCTCTTCTTTCCTCCTTTCTTTTTTTAGTGTACTAGTACTTAGGCTTGAACTCAGGGCCTGGGCGCTGTCCCTTAGGTTTTCCACTCAAGCCTGGCATTCTACCATTTGGGTCACACCTCCACTTCTGGCTTTTTCTTGGTTGATTGGAATAAGAGTCTCATGCCTTCTGTGTAGCTAGGATTACGGATGTGAGCCATGGGAGTTCCACTTTCATTCCCTTCTTTCTGTGCTTGCTGTATGGTATTGTCAGGTCATTCCCACTGGCGCATGAGCTCCCTGAGGGCTGAGATCTGCTGCTTTGAGCTGTGTGCAGCCCAAGCCGTCTGCAGAGCTTTACCTGGCTTGGTGGTGGACTTCCTCACTGGAAGCTACCCTTGGGCCTGGGCCAGGTGCCCCCCGCCCCCAGCTCCCAGATAGAGTCACCTCCCACAGCTCTCTCCCAGCCTGGCTCCACAATACCTAGAGTTCCTGTGAGTGCTGACCCTGAAGCCATCCTCCCTTCTCCCCAGGGCTCCTTGGGCCGTCCGCCTTCGTACTGACCATGGCCTTAGCTGTGGAGGGCGGTTTCTCTCCAAGGGGCCAGCTGTGGTCCAGGCTGGCTTTCCTTCCCAATTTCTTTCTTCCTTCCTTCCTTCCTTCCTTCCTTCCTTCCTTCCTTCCTTCCTTCCTTCCTTCCTTCCTTCCTTCTTCCTTCTTCCTTCCTTCCTTCCTTCCTTCCTTCCTTTCTTCCTTCCTTCTTTCCTTCCTTCCTTTCTTTCTTTTTTTTTTGGTCTGTCATAGGGCTTGAACTCCAGGTTTGGGCGCTGTCCCTCAGCTCTTCAGCCCAAGGCTAGTGCTCTACCACTTGAGCCACAGCACCACTTCTGGCTTTTCTGCTTATGTGGTTCTGAAAAATCAAACCCAGGGCCTCACGCATGCAAAGCAAGCGCTCTACCACTGAGCCACCTTCCCAATTTCTGATTTAGGAATAAAGTCAGCCTGCTTCTCTTCCCAGGCTCTCAGCCAGGAACAACAGCTCCCTCTCCTCTCCAGAACCACCTCCGTCTCATTCTTTGTTCTAATTCCCCATCTTCCAAAATGTCCCCCCCCCCCCGGCCATCTCAGCCCCCAGCACCTGCGCGGACACAAGCTGCCGCTGGAGCCAGCTGGGGCTCGGGAAGGGCTTCACTGGGACGCTGAGGTACCAAGCATTTGCTGTCTTCTGACGTATCGGGCCCTGTCCCCTTGTCCCCTGCATTCTACCTGGGACTCCAGAGCTCCTCACGGCTCGGTGGTCGGCCGGCCTCCATGGCTTTGTCACAGAAGGAACGAGGACCCCCCCCCCCACCCTCATTCCTGAGAGAACAGCCACCTCCTCGGGTTGGGTTGTCCCTGCTTCAGAATTCACCGAACCCCTGGGAAGGAGGCGCAGCGTCTGGAGGCACCGGATGCCGTGCTCTGCGGGGCCCTCAGCGCCGCGTGGACCTGCCCTCACTGTCCTCTCTGTGTGGGGAGGGCGTCACATGGCACAGAGAGGGAAATGATCTCTCTCTCTCTCACACACACACACGCGTGCGCACACACACACACACACAGCCACGCGCACACACGCACACACATGCACACAGACGCACACACACACAGCCACACACACACACACACGCACACACAGCCACGCGCACACACACACACATGCACACAGACGCACACACACACAGCCACACACACACAGCCACACACACACACACACACACATGCACACACACAGCACCCCTCACTGGCTGAGAGGCCGCCTGGCTGTCTGGGTTCCCCGGGTCCTGAGATCCAGAACAGCTGTGGTTAGGTGGTGGCCTGGGAGGAAGGGGTGGGGGGCCACATCTGCTCCCCCCTCTCCTGTGGCCTGCCTTATAGACACAACTGTATTCTCCACGGAGCTCTTGTTAAAATGGGTGCCTCTCTTCCTTCTGGTAGAGTTCCAGGAAACCAAACAAGGCAAGGGACTCCGGTAAGTTTACTTTGCAAGCAAATAGCCCTTGTGGGCTCTCCCCGAGCCATCTACTTCTGAGACCCCTGTCTCCTTCTGCCCGAACCCCCTAAGGCTCCTCGTACCTCCCCAGTCACTCCAGAACTACCTCCCTACACACACACACACACACACACACACACACACACACAGTACCAGGGCCTGGGTCCCTGAGCTTTCGTGCACAACGTTAGCACTCTACCACTTGAGCCACAGCCCCACTTCTGGCTGGCTTCGAACCGTGACCCCCAGATCTCAGCCTGCTGGGTCTTGGGGATCACAGGGGTGAGCCACCAGGGCTATGCCTTTACTTTTCACATCTGAGATTTTTTTTTTCTGTCATTGGAGATCCAGCAGCCAGTCACAGAGGTGGAATGAAAATTCCTCTCTCTGTGGACAGATTCCTAGTCCCTCATTACCCAGGAATGAAATGACCAGGGAGCGATGGGAAGGTGGCGGGGGGCGTGGAGGGTTGTTCTGACTCCCCTTCTTTTCATGAGAAGCCCAGCCAAGGAGCAGCTAGACCGTGGTCTGAGGCACGTGGCGGACGGGGAGGGTGAGGACGGTGGGCAGGAGGATGCCCTGCGGGTCTGGGAAGGTCTTCAGCTCCCTGGGCACAAACCTGGGTGCGATGTGGTCAGCCAGGAAGCAGAGGGTCCCCTGGCGGCCCACGCAGTAGATGCGTTCGTCCACCACGGCGCACTGGAAGGCAGCCGGGTAGGGAGTCCGGTACGTGGCACACTCGTACCAGAGCCGGGTGCTGGCGCTGCACCGGTACACGCTGATGCCCAGGCTGCGGTTGAAGTCGAAGCGGTAGAGGAAGCCATCCACGGCCGCCATCTCGGCGGTGCGGTCCTTGCTGCCCCCCGCGGGGCCGGCCCACCAGCGCTGATCCTGGGCCGAGAAGCGGAGCAACAGGTATCGCAGGCTGCCCCCCGTGAGGAAGATCTCGTCCCCGCACGCCGTGCCCGTGTGTGCCAGGGCGAAGGTGTCGTTGGGGAGCGGCGGGGCAAAGGTCCAGCGGTCCAGGCGAGGGTCGTAGCGCTCCACCGTGTTCAGACACTCGCCCCCGATGGCATACAGGTACCCGCCCATGGCCACCAGCCTGCAGCGTGGCCGAGCCTGGTTCAGAGGGCTCGTCTCGCTCCAGATCCCCGTCAGGGGGTTGTAACAGAAGACACGGTTGGAGGGCTGGTGCCCCGGCCCTCGGCACCCCGACACCACGAACAGGTAATTGAAGAGGCTACAGATGGCGCAGCCCCGGGACACGGCCTCGGGGGGCAGCTGAGCCAGGGGGTGCCAGGCATCCGCCGCGTCCTCATAGGAGAAGAGGCGTCCGCCGCCTTCTTGGGGGCCCACGTCGGCCACCACCAGGCGCTGGCGGCCCTGGAGACGCCGCTGGAGAATGAGCTCCCGCTCCGCCCCGCTCAGCCGCCCATAGATGTGGGGGTTCCTCAGCACGTGGAGGTAGTTGTCACTCATCACCTTGAAGGCCGCCTCCTTCAGGGCCTCCAGCTTCTGTCTCTTGGCCAACTCCAGTACCTCGTAGCAATTACCCAGATCCAGGTGGATGTGTGGGGCCGAAGTAGGGCCCAGTGGGGCGTGGAAGAAGTTGGTCCCTGCCACGAGCCGCACAGGGGACTCCCCATCCCTCCCGGCTGGGCCAGGCTGAGGACCTGGATCGAGGGGGGTTGCAGCGGGGATCCCAAAGCTGCCGGGCTGCAGCTGGAGTTCTGGGTTGTCTGCAATCTGCAGGAGACTCACCTTCCGGCCGAGGCCTGGAACGGAGGAGGAAGAGGAGGTGGAGGCTCTGGGTACACCCTCACTGTGGGCAGCTTGGGCTTCAGAAGCTGCTTTGGTACCCAGGGGCCCTGGCACTGGTCCAGGGGATGGAGCCTTGGGTAGAGCCGCCGTGCTGGGGGCCGGCCTGGACACAGCCTGGGACGTAGACTGGACGTAGTAGTCATATATCTTGCCTTTCAGCGGGAGACCCTTTCCCTCTGCCTCCTGGATGAGGCTTTCTTGAACCTGGACCCGGGCCGTGGATGAGAAGGTGTAGGAGGCGTCTGTGGCTCCGTCGGGGTGATGGACGGCTAGTGCCATGTCTGAGGCAGCCTGGAGGGCCCCGGGCTCTTCCCTGCTGGCGCCAGTCACGCGGGTGAAGACCCAGGCCTGGTCCATGTCACTGCACTTGGCCGTGGGGGCCATCCAGCGGCCGGGGGGTCCCAGCTCCTCTGCCTTCGGCTGCTCCAGGCATTCACCATCCAGCCGCAGAGCAGGCTCCCCACCCCTGGTCACCGTCTGGTCAGCTGCAGAGTTTGTGGGTTCACTGCCCAAACAGGGGTGGTGGAGAGGGCTGGGCTTCTCTCCAGCAACTGTTCCGGGTTCCTGGACGCAGCAGGAGGGAGGCACCTGCTCCGAACTCGGGTGTTGCCTCTCCTCCTCCTCCTTTTCCTCCTCCTCCCCAGAGCCTCTGCTCTCGGGGTCCCGGGCTCTGGAAGTGGCTTCTGTAGCCAGAACAGGGAGGTGTCCCCGATCGTCCAGGCAGCAGTCCAGGGCAGCTCCTGCTTCTTTGCTGGCCCTCCGGCATCTCAGCCTCCGCCTCGGGGACTCTGGAGAAGACTCCTGGACAGCGGGCTGCCCTGAGCCCTCCGCTTCCTCCTCCTTGGCCTTGAACTTGGCACTCCCACCCCCCTGCGGGGCCGGGGCAGGCCTGGACTTGTACAGCCTGTAGGCCGCGGTCAGCAGGAGCAACGCAGCGGCAGTCAGCACCACCCTGCTGGCGAGCTGCATGTCCGAATGCCAGCCCTGGGCCTCGGCTCCTGAGGGGAGCATGCTGCTGGGGCTCAGGAATGTCAAGAATCTGATTAATGATTGCCCAATAGGGAGTAGCTCCGAGATCTGGCCAGCTGAGCAAAAGGGAGGCCTGGGCTGGCTTGGGCTGCCCGGCTGAGGAGTGGAGCAAAGGTGACTTTGAGCTGGGGTGAGGGAGGGCAGCTCCTTTGGGCCTTCCTAGGGGGGTGGAAAGTTCTGCCCAGGGGCTGAGCTGGAGCCAGGGGCAGTGCCAGTCCACAGCCCGGGTTGCTAGGGGTGCCCGGGGGGGCCTCCAAGGAGGAGAGGCAGGATGCTCTCAAGCCACAGTCTGATGCCAGGAAACGTATGTTTCTGTGTGGGTGCTTTGTTTTCTCTTGCAAATCCACCTGCTGTGCTGCCAGGCTGGGCAGGCCTGGGCGTGGTGGGTCCACTGGAGCCATAGCAGGTGTGGAGGAGGGACAGGTTCCATCTCCACAGAAGGGGTTGAATAGGGACACAGCCAAGGGGAGGTTGGAGCTGGGGCCCGTAGCCCCTGCCCACACCCCTGCTGCCCTTCCCCACCCAACATGCTTCAGAGAACCCAGCCAGCTTTTCACCCTGAGACCGTTTGCATCAATACCTTGTGTTAATGCCCACATAAGGGTAAGGCGCGGGGTTCATCTGATAGAGCAAGAGGCAGAGAAAAGTGGGGACCCCAGCCTACCCACTCAGGTCCCACTCCAGCCCCAGACAGCTGGTGCTATGGATCCTGGACCCAAACTACCTAGCTGTCTGCCACTGACTAGCTGTGTGACTTTAGACAAGAGATTTTGCCCCTCTGTGCACCATTTCCCAGTCTGAAAGATGGGAAGATGGCCCCTGGACCTCATCAGATGCGGTAGTTCAATATGCAAAGTGCCAAGGATGGAGCCTTTTATCCTGAGAGTACAGGGAGCATCAGCTCTCCCCCCCCTTCTCTCCAGTGGCCAGAGTGCAGGACCAGTTCTGCTCAGCCTCTGGACAGCTAAGGGTCCCCCTTAGACAGATGAGGACCCCTGAACCTCCCAACCCCTGGCCAGTACAGAGAGAGGTCAGTCCAGTGGTTCGAGGTCTCAGGGCGAAGGCAAGTCTGGATGGTCTTGTTCTCCACCTCTGAATCTTGTTTCATTGAAGACTGAAATGAGGACCAGTGCTCTGCCAAGGAGGCAGATACTGCAGGGACTTAGCTCGAGGGCTCGGGGCCTGGGAGAAGCTCCTCACTCCATACTATGACTGCTTAGGCGCCAGCCTCAGTTTACCCTTTTGAATCTGCTTCTTGAACGCTACATAGCACGCTCGGCTTTGCTGGCTCTTAGTGGGCCAGGCCCCTCCCTTGTCCTTGCTAGTGGTCTCCAACAGTCTAAATTCCTCAAAGGCTGCCTGAGCCTCCTTCCCGGAGCCTCCATTCTCTCAGACCAGCTCTTCATCCACGTGTCTCTTCTTCCAGACCCTTCCACCATCTTGATCACTGTGGACCCTGCCCACAGCATCTGTCTGTCTGTTCTCTGGGTCCCAGGAGCCCCAAGGACGGTGACTGAACAGGCCTCACTCCAACCCCTGAAGCTGGCAAGGGACCCAGTGTGTACAGGTGGGGTGGAGTCCGGCGTGGACCATGCTGCCTGGACACGGAGGGGGGCTGGGTGCGGTCAGGGGTGGGGGAGGGGCATGGCTGCCCACAGCCCCCCTTGGAGACGCAGCACGTGTGTCCTCACGCCTGAGACTTCCCGTGCCCTTCCAGTTTTCCCCACTTGCTTGCAGCTCTGAGTTTCACGGCTGGAAGGGCATGCACCCGTGTGAGTCTCTCGAAAGCGGCCTCCGCGGTTGGGCCCGCTGTGATCCGCAAGGGGGGGACCCTTTGTCCCTCTTTCTGTCCAACTTGACAAAAAAAAAAAAACGACCACGGTCACGCTGAGGGGCTGGAGGATGGGGTTTGGAACGGTGGGAAATGTGGTCTTCCACACTCGCACCCCAGATCATGCAACCCACCCAGTCTGGTGTGAGTCCCAGGAAGCCTCCATTTTGGGAGCTTCAGAGGCTTAGGGATGAGAAGTTGGTTGGCTTTTTCTGCCATTGTCTGCTCAGCCCCGGGGTGGGGGTGAACCCTGGCGCTGTGCTCCGAGTTCCCTGGAGAGGGCGCTACTGCCCCCCACACCCAGTTAACAGGGGAAGACTGGAGACCGGGGGAGCAGAGCCATCAAGGTGGCTGAGAGTGGCAGGCAGGCGGAGATTTGTAACCACCCTTCTCTGCCCTGGTCTGGGTGGGGACAGAGCCAGGATGAGGAATACAGCGGGAATGGAGAGCTCGGCAAAGCCCAGAGACGCTCCGATTGGAACTGGGAGCTGGGCGCTGGTAAACGGTGAATGTGCAGGAAGCGGCCGGCCCTGATTTGAATCCCGGCCTGGCACTTGTGTGGCCAGGCCTGGCTTCGGACAGGAGGGGCCTGTGCAAATCAGTGGGGCACAGGTAAACCTCCCCCAGACAGGCTTCCAGCCTCCCTTCTGCCTCCCAGCCCTCAGAGCTGCCCAAGGCAGGGTGGAAACACACGGGTGCCTTGTTACTGGGGCAGGAGTGTGCCGTCGAGTCAGAGGGCAAGAAAGAATTTAGCCCCAAGATAGAAGAGGTGGGGGAGAACAGGGCAGGTCTTGTGTTTTGGGAGGGGACTGGCAGAGGCTGGGTGGGCACCCTGGGGTGATTTCACTGGGCCTGTGGCTGTTTTCAAGTGTCCAGTTCCTGGACTTGGGGGGGGCAGGGGGGTGTCGGCCTAGGCGGTTGGGGCTTTCAATCGGGGTGGGTTGGTCTGTCCACCAGAGGGAGGTTCCTGGGGGAGCCATTGGCTGTGTCTGGACTCTCCTGGGGACTCCTGTGTCTAGACGCCCCTGCCCCCACCCCGAGCAGCCTGAGGGTTAGAACACAGAACATAAGCGAAGGTGAACCCAGACTGGGAGGAGCTAGACCTCTGGGGTGCGGCGGGAGGCCACATTCTCAGGGTGGCAGGAACGGGGTTTGCTGCTTCACCCCGAGGTCTAACTCCGTCTGCAGGTAAATGTCACAGGAATCCCATAAATTACATCCCGCATCCCCACCCCCGCCACCCCCCCAGTGTCTGTTTGGAGAAAGCGAAGTGAACAAATGAAGACAGCAGCGAAATTAAAAGATAATTGGAAGATGCTATCGGGTCTCTGCGGATGTGCCTGCTCTGCCACCGCCAATCAGGTCTCCCTGTGTGTCAGGGTGAACAGAGAGCTCTGCCATGGGCTGGGGGTGGGGAATGCAGGCAGGGCCGTGGCTGCGGGTGGGGAAGGCCAGTGGGGGGGGGGAGAGGGGCATGGGTGCCATGCCAACCCACAGGCCCATCCAGGAACCAGTAGCTTTGCATTCCACCCAGCCTGTGAACTGCCCCTGCGGGCGCACCCAGATCTGTTTTCCAAGGTAAGAGGTGACAGACAGGGAGGCCTTGAGTGGAAGCCAGAGAAGGGGGGTGTGGGCCCCTGAGGAGGTGAGGGTGAAGATAAAGAGACCCTGGAGCTGGGGATCATTTCACACACACACACACACACACACATACACACACATACACACACGAAGACATAACTATACACACCCATATATGTACAAGGGAATAAATGTGTCCAGGTTTGACTGATGGGGGCAACTGGGAGGAAGGGAGAAGGGGGGGCAGAGGAGAGAGAGAGAGAGGGACAGACAGACAGACAGAGGAGAGAGGGGGGTGGAGATTCCACTGAGCCTAAGACCCATGCATGTGGCCAGGTCTGGAGTAGATTTCACTCATTCCCTCCTCATACTTGGTTATTTGGGAGTGTGTGACACGATGACCTTGTCTGTGTGTGAGTTGTGTGTGTATGTGCCAATACTCAGGCTTGAGCTCAGGGCCTAGACACTGTTTCTCAGTTTTTTCTTTTGCTCCAGGCTGGTGCTCTACCATTTGAGCCACTACTCTGCTTCTGGCTTTTTGGTGGTTCTTTGGAGATAGATGTCTCCTGGACTTTCTTGCTTGGGCTGCCTTTGAACCACGACCCTCAGATCTTAGCCTCCTGAGTTGCTGGGATTATAGGCCTGAGCATCATGCCCGGCCAGATGAATATTCTTACTTAGATGAATCTTCCCGTCTTCACCCAGCAGGCTGGCTGCTCCTGTTTATGGAGACAAACCCAGCCACAGAAGGCCTTATCCAAGGTCACTGGGTAAGAAGACCCAGCAGGCCTCCGTGCGGTGCGAGCTGCACTGTGCAGAGTGGAGGCCTTGCTCCCAGAAGGGTGGCATCAGAGCTCTTCTCTGTAGGATTTTCTGCCAACTGCAGAGTCATAACCCTTGTATCTCCCCTTCCCCCTCTCCCCTGGCTGGCTGAGGACACTGGGTGGCTCCCATGGCCTCTCCAATCACATCTGAATGGCTAGGCCTGTCCTCCAAGCTCCCCTTGGAGCCCAGCCTCATCTGTCAGCACTCAAACACCCGTTCCTGCTCCAGTCAAACTCATCCTGTCACTGTCCCCCTGTCCCCTGTCACACGGGCCATTTCTCAAACTCACAGTGCTCTTTCCCAGATCTCCACGGTAGCCCTCATGTTTATAAAACCCCAGGTGAGAACTGGGCCTGGTTCTTGGAGCCTCAGGCCAGGGCCTAGCCCAGGACCTGGGCCAGGGCAGGCCTTCACCATTCAGACCTCTCCAAGGAGTATGCACTGGAAATGACAGACTCTCACTGGAAAAGTGCACGTACATACAAGATGCCACGTGGGAATTCTGGAAGGGCCCAGCCCCCTTGCCCATCCTCCCCTCCCCCCAATCCTGGCTGAGCTCTGCATGGGAAGGCCTGTGCATGCTGAAGTCTTAGGATATCTGGTCTACTTGGCTCACGGGAGTGAGAAAGAACGGGTTTCCCAGACAGAGAAGTTGAGAAAACACTGCACTGTGGCTCTTAGCCTTTATTTCTTCACCTGTAAAATGGGCCCAGCAAGACAGGAGCCTGTATACACTGTCATAGCT